ATGGATAGATTGGTTTATTACTAATAATATGTCCTATATAGATCACGTTGGTTACACTGCAATCGTACTCCAAGTATATAAGCTCTACTGTACTCCAGCTACATAGGTTCCACTGTACTCCTGGTTTATAGGTTCCACTGTACTCCAGGTTTATAGGTTCCACTGTAATCCAGGTATATAGGTTCCACTGTACTCCAGGTATAAAGGTTCCACTGTACTCCAGGTATAAAGGTTCCACTGTACTCCAGGTATATAGTTTCCACTGTACTCCAGGTATAAAGGTTCCACTGTACTCCAGATATACAGGTTCCACTGTACTCCAGGTATAAAGGTTCCACTGTACTCCAGGTATAAAGGTTCCACTGTACTCCAGGTATATAGGCTCTACTATACTCCAGGTATATAGGTTCTTCAGTACTCCTGGTTTATAGGTTCTACTGTATTCCAGGTGCATAGGTTCTACTGTACTCCAAGTTTATAGGTTCTTCTGTACTCCAGATATATAGGTTCTTCAGTACTCCTGGTTTATAGGTTCTACTGTACTCCAGTTATATAGGTTCCACTGTACTCCAGGTTTATAGGTTCTACTGTACTCCTGGTTTATAGGCTCTACTGTAATCCAGCTACATTGGTTCCACTGGACTCCTGGTTTATAGGGTCCACTGTACTCCAGGTTTATAGGTTTCACTGTAATCCAGGTATAAAGGTTCCACTGTACTCCAGGTATAAAGGTATAAAGGTTCCACTGTACTCCAGGTATAAAGGTATAAAGGTTCCACTGTACTCCAGGTATAAAGGTTCCATTGTACTCCAGGTATAAAGGTTCCACTGTACTCCAGGTATAAAGGTTCCACTGTACTCCAGGCATATAGGTTCCACTTTACTCCAAGTATATAGGTTCTACTATACTCCACGTATGTGGGTTCTACTATACTCTAGGTATATAGGTTCCACTGTACTCCAGGCATATAGATTTTAATGTACTCTAAGTATAGGTTCTACTGTACTCCAGGTATATTGGTTCCACTGTACTCCAGGTAGATAGGTTTTACTGTAATCCAGGTTTATAGGTTCCACTGTACTCCAGGTATATAGGTTCCACTGTACTCCAGGTATATAGGTTCTACTGTACTCCAGGTATATAGGTTCCACTGCACTCCTGGTATATAGGTTCTACTGTTCTCCAGGTATGTGGGTTCTATACTGTGTAATCTATATTGAATCTGGAAACTCACATGGAGCAACACCTCGTAGATTAACCAAACCCATTCCATAAAGATCTCATCAGTGGATGATTTGTCTGATTTCTACATTTGTTCTGCTCTCCATTCCCCCCCCCTTTGCTTCCTCTTCTTGAAAAGGTGCAAAACGCCCTAAATTCGGCTGGTTTTATTAGAGTTCTTGGGTGCACGACACGAGGATATATTAAAACATTTCTTTCTAAACTTCCTGATATTTTATCCTTGCTCCACCCTCGCATACTTTAAATATACGGTTGACATTCTCAAGTCCTATTTTCTTTCAAGGACAAAACCCAGAAAATATTGGAAAATATCTATCTCGTCAAACCAATGAGCCATGAGTTTCAAACTATCTTAAAGGGACTGTAAACGTATGTTTCATTTAAAGAGGACTATGTCCGATTTATGATATATGCTATTATAATAAAAATATCCTTTTTTTTTCTAGCTAAAATTTTCTTATTGTGGGTTCTCTGTGAAAGTGACATACGAATGTTATGCAGTATTCAATAAATAGCAGTTTTTCTTTTCTTTATATCTTATCTTTTTTTATTCTATCCCATTTTCTATTAAAATTGATTTTGTTTTCAACAAAATTTTTAAATCTGAAAAAAAGCATTTTAAAATTCTGTTTTGTTCATTCCTTAGAATTTTGAAGAATTAATCGAAATATAAATATATTTAAATATTTTGACATGTGTGTGCCCACGACATGGAATAAAATTCATTTGCAAATAAAGAAATATTCAATATATACAGAAGACATATTTCATTCCATTCAGATTTGTCAGTTATGCATTGTTTTTTTCGATTCGCATATTCATAGCAAATTCAGGGGGAGGGGAGGGATAACATTATCTTTTTCATTCAAGATCCGACTGTGGCCTTGTTTGTGCAAATTATTTCCCAATACTTGGGAGAAAAAATTTTAAATTAAACTTACACGTGTTTGTCGTTTATTATTCATAATCCAGTATTGATTGGCTATAAAATCCATACTTCATGGGAGGAACTATTATTTTTTGACAAAATATATGTACATATAATAAAAAGTTTCTTTTTTTCTATAGTTTTTTTTATCAAATTGACAAATAAGATTTTAGCAGATTTGATAAATGAATGGAAAGCTACGATTTTTGATTTGATAAAAGAGTTTTGTTTAAACATGAAATGAATGAAGGAGTTTTTTTTTAGTATTTTTAACATATAAGGGCGAGCATAAAACAACATATGGAATTTTTTCAAAAAAATCAAAGTAAAGAAAACTGTATGATCAAAACTAATTTTCTATAGACTCTCTTTTCAGTGCACTTTGCACTGTACAAATGTTGCTCTTCATAAGAAAACGTTATGGGCACTTTTTCAAGTGGCGTTTATAAAACAACTGTTTCAAAAGTACAAAAGAGCACTGTGAATTCTGTTAAATAAAATAATCTAAGTTTAAAATATTAAAGGTTTACGCCATCAGGTTGCACAGATATAGGGATTCAAAACATTGTGTTTGTGGCAAAGACTCAGTAAGGGTTTCCATCATAGATCAAGGAAACTGTTTCCATTTGGGACTTACTGTAACGAGATTTATTCTCAAAGAATAGATCATATTTTCAATTGTGTTTACAAAATTATACCTGGAGTAAAACCTTAACCCTTCATCCAACCCGTCCATGACCCATCAAATCCATCCTTGTTCATCAATCTTCTTCAACTAAACCTTTGCACTTCAAACTGGTTTGCCAAATCTTTGCAAATTTAAATTCAGATTGTGCAAAGTAGGATGATGTTGTATGAATACTTTTTCCAAAAAAAGGGAATTGAGTTTTTTCTCACAAACTCAACTTTTTTAATCCCTATATCTTTACAATCCTTTGATATTTCTATTTGATCTAGTTCACAGTTTAAAATATCAAAGGTCTACGACACCTGTGGTCTAAAATAAGAAGTTCAGTTCTTTAAAGGGAGTGACCGGCTATGTTAGGTAGTTGAACTGTGTATGCAGTGTTGTGGAAAACTTCTTTCGGCTTTTGCCTTGAAACTCAGTTTTTGCTATAAAAGTCACTCATTTAACTAAGAACTTTAAAACCACGATAACAACATTTCCTTGGTTCTCTCTTTCTGTGATTTAAAGGTCTCAACCTCTCAAGCACAAATAGATAAGAATTTTGCCAATTACTTCTTGAAAGCTAAAGCTAACACCAACTGCTATGTAGTGCTAAAATGTATATGTAAAGGGCTATAGAAAACCATAAGTGAGTTAGAGTGCTAAAATTAAATCTTAATGTGTTGGGACACTTCAAAGTCGACCCTGTCTTTAAAATTGATGTTACTTTGTATATACTGCAGGCTGAATCTATGGTTATTATTTTATTGCCAGTGTATTTTGAAAAAAAAGCTACCTGTCAAAAAGGTAAATCCTATGTTACACATGTGAACAGACATATTCGACATTCGACGCTCTGCTTTATATATAATTAAGTATAGATACATTCATGTGTTATGCTTCCCACTGCACCCCCCCCCCCCCTCTCATTTATTTGTATATTTGCTAAGTGTATATACAATGTTTGCACACTACACAGACCTGGGCTAAATTATGCAAATTCTTTGGTTGGTCAATTGCTAGTGGTGTATCTAGGTGTGGGGTATAAACACTAGTGGAGGTGGAACCCCCTCCCCCTCATATATTATCCCAACCTGTAATCACCCCCTCCCATCTCAAAAAATACATTCTATCACAGTGAGTCATGGATTGAGGAAATGACTTTAGAAAGAAATCGACTTTTTATTAATTATTTCAACCCATCCCACTTTATCAATAGTTCGTGAGCACGTTTATTAACTACAAGGTAATCAGGCACGTTATGACGTTTTAACAAGAGTTCAGACTTAATCAATAGTTAAATTACGTTTTTTCTTTAAATACGAGTTTCAGGCACGTTATGACGTTTAACAAGAGTTCAGACATAATCAATAGGTAGATTACGTTTTTTCTTTAAATACAGGCACGTTATGACGTTTCAATAAAAAATTATCAAATAAATAAAGTTGAAAAAAGACAATTGTGGCGTTCAAAATAGCCTTCTTCTTTAAACACTTTATCAGTGAATGCACGTTTTTTATCATTTTATGTAAAATGTTTTGTTCAAATGGAACTGTATCCTCTCCAGAAGCTTTGATTTTTTGAAAAAAGACAATTGTGGCGTTCAAAATAGCCTTCTTCTTTAAACACTTTATCAGTGAATGCACGTTTTTTATCATTTTATGTAAAATGTTTTGTTCAAATGGAACTGTATCCTCTCCAGAAGCTTTGATTTTTTAACTTGATTCATCGTAGATATTAGATATTTTAAACTATGAATTCTGTTAAAATAAATAAAATAATCAGTTTGAAATATCAAAGATTTACACTTTCATGAGACCATGGGTCATTTAGATGTAAAATCAATTAAACCACTAGACATGAAAATATATATGAAAATAATAAGAAGATTTAAATGAGTGATTATTTGTGAGTCCAAAAAAAAACATTTGAAGTAAAATGGTTTAGGCTTAGTAATTTCTGTGATTTGCAAATATTTGATGTAAATTCTTGAACAGTGTAGAAGTCCAAGAAATAAATTATGTTTCCTGTGTTAATAAAAACTTGTAAAAATTCCTAAATCCCTTTTCTACACTCTACTGCTTTAATCTAGCATTCTAAGTTTCGTGAAATTTACATATTTTATTCAAAATTTATAATCACAGCAGTTTGTCGGGGTTTAAATGTTTCTTTATCAAATATAAAAAAATATCAAAGATAATGTTCTTTAAACTTGATTTTCACAGATTAAAGGGATTGACAACGTAATTCCGAGCACATCTCCAGGTAAAGAGAGGCAACCCCAATTCACAACGGTACCATTAACCTACTTCACAGTAAAAATGATGATTATATCCTTGTTTTTACATCTGAAAATTACTAATCACTGGTTTCTCTATAAAAGTGACTATAGCAGATTTATGCAACAGGCATGCAAAAAATAAAAATTGTCAGAATTAATTAATTTTCTACATAGAAAACCGACAATATCTTCCACACTGTTGCTAAGATAACGAATTAAAAGGTACCGTTGTGAATCTGTCACGCCAACAGTCCCTTTAAATACAGGTCATGAAGAACTATCTTTGGTTTAGATAAATAAATTTCTCAGTCGATTGACCAGACTCATCCTCTGGGCAGAGTTCCGGTTTGAGAGAGGGTTGGATTGCGCCTGCATATTGTTGTACACGGAGAGAGGGATCTCAATCTCAACCTGCTCGTACTCACGTTCACTGGTCAGTCTTTCACATCGGATTGTTACCATTCGTTCCCCCTTCTCCGGGTCCCGACACGTCTCCCCTCTTCGTCTTATCCTCGGGGTTTTGGTTGATATTGAGATCATACTGGAGTCACTCCGGGTACTGGATAGAGTACTAGATTTGGACTTGACACTTACTGAACTGAGACTACCGGTTTTAGACCTGGAGCTGAAAAGGGAGGAATCCCTCTTCGGGAGTGGGGAGTCCTTGCTCAGGGAGTTCCTGAGACATGGAACAATCTTGGAGGAAGAGTTGTCTCTAATAGCAGATCTAGATCGTCTCTTATAGGACGGAGATATTGAGGATTGAGGAGAGGAGAGAAAATACGCGGATTCAAACATTGTGTACACAGATCTATCGGAGAACTTGGAAGAGGTTTCAAGATAATCCGTGGCCTGAACTTGACTAGATACAGCTCGGATCTGTTCTCTCTGCACCCCGGAGATATCAGACTTACAGCCGACCAGTATCAGAGGTATACCCGTCCCTCGTACTCTCGGATACCATTCTCCGACAGTATTGAGGAGGGTGGCAGGGTCGTTCAATCCGAAGCAGATGAGGTAGATATCCGGGTACTCCAGCAACCTCAGCTCCGACGGTTCGCTGCACTCGGAAATAGAGAACCGAACCCTACTCTCGGCAAGGATTAACTCTCTGGTACTACCAACCAATGGACCAGTCTGAAATTAGAACTAAAGTAATTAAATATTTACGACGAGGGTTAAAATTGGTTTTGTGTTTACAATGTCTAGTTCATAAGATAACAAAAAGGATTAAATGGTTGCAACCCCAAACACTTAAGTTAGGACAAAAGTCCTAAATATTAGGGTTTAATGTCAGTGATATTATTTACCGGAATCTCCAAATTAAATGAAACGCGTGTAAAGATTTGAGTCAGTCTTTATTTTATAAATAAATGGTTTAATAAAACTTTAACTGGTTTCTTCCTTTTTTATATCAATTATTATCATTCACAACATTATTTAATGTAAATACCCAGAGACTTCAACGACAATCAAAATCTCTTTCTGGTTTAGCAATCCAGTTGGCAATGCAAGAAAAAAATAACATCTGATATAACCACCAGTTTCTTGAACTTTGAAGTTTTTAACTGGTAATTAAAGAGAATTTCTTTGTTTGTATCCTTTCTGTCACAAGATTTCTTTTATAATAAATGTTTAAATATATTTCTTCAACTGCTCACCTGAATTATCCTATCTTGAAGAAATTTTTTTATAAGAGATGTTTTCCCTACTCCCTTATCTCCTATTAGGGTCACTTTAAAGTCTATCAGATTCATGGTTTTATTCGTGTGTTCACTGCTCCAGGTTCACATCTTTACTTAACGAGGGTTAGGACGCGACTGAGTGTTGTGTTACTGTTGAGATTGAGATTGAGCGTAGTGTGTAAACTGTACTCGGAGTTAGGACCGGGACGGGTTTACTCAGGTTTACTCCGATCCCGTCCATTTACACACAGGATTTACTCAACTGGAGAATCTGTAGATAATTATATATCTTTCACTTCATTTCTTTGGTTCAATGCAAGTGCAGTTAGTTTAATTGTTACTTGAACAGAGCTTTAATAGGATTTGTAGAACCTATATTTACAATTTCATAATTAGGGAAGCAAAAAGGTTTCTACCTATATTTAAGAAGTTATATTTTTATCACACGTTTTAACCCTTTCCCGATTGGGCTTTTTTGGTCTAATATACATAATAGGGAGCTAGGAAGTTAAAACATATCTTTTTCCTATTTTGTAATAACATGCATTACATACTACATTCTTTTTTCAAGGGCTTTACTAACAAGTAAATTTCAGATCTGTAATTCAAATAATAATACAAATAGTTATGTATTTTATAAGACACCCATTACCTTATTCTATCCACGACATTTTTCATTTTTTTTGGCAAACTTTGTCTTCAATTATAAAGTTTGGGCATCTTCCTCAAACAGTTTTTAGTTATCAGACCTCCCCCCCCCCACGTGATATCAGACCTCCCCCCCCCTCGTGATATGGTTAAAATAACTTTTTTCCTTACCTAAAGTTATGAACAACACAAGACACATGGATACACGTTTTCTTGGTCCATCTCGACAAATTCAGAAGATTCATTCCAATATAAGAAAATAGACATTTAGGGGTGCTCGAGATATTTATGGAACTTAAAGGGACTGTAAGAGTAATTTCAAGTGACCCTCCATGCAAAGATTGCAATGCCCAATTTACAACGGTACCCTTAAAAGCTATAAATCTTATTATGAACTAGATATCGATGTTTATTATTTCAAAACATATTTTTTTTAATAATGGGGTTTTTACACTTTTGCAATTCTACTGCAGGAACACATACATAAATTGTCAGAATTAAACACTTTTAACCCTAGAAAAGGCTGAGACAATTCCAAACTATTATCAGATAAAGGTTTAAAAAAATATGGGATTAACGTTTTACAGGTTTAATAAGATCAGCTGAGAATGTTCTGACGAAGGTTTTGTAAACTGTTTCTAAATAAAAGTATTTCTAACCCCGACCTGGCAACACCAGTGCTCGTAAGAATGCAGAAAAGGTACAATATTTTGATGAATAGAATGCAGAGGTTGAGAAAAGAAATGAAAAAAATAAGATTATATTGCAGTAAGCGAGAACAAATGCATTATTTATGACCTACAATGTACCAAGGAGATTAGATTATTTAAGTAGAGTATACTTAAGGGACTGTAAGGGAATTTCAAGCGACCCTACATGCAAAGATGGCAATGCCCGATTCACGATGATACTCTTAAAAGCTTTGTCTGATCAAGTATGAATTAGATTTCAATGCTTTTGTTTCTCTAAACTGTTTATTTTCAAGTGACTTGCCATTTCTTGCTTCTAAATCGGGCATTGCCAACGTTGCATGGAGGGTAACTAAAATTACGCTTACAGTCTGTTTAAGGGACAGTAGTAGGTTACAGTGTACACTCCATGCCAGTGTAACACTCAAGTTTTCCGACACTCAATTTTCAGCTAGAAAATTTAAGAATTCTCTGTCATCTATGATGAGACAAATGTTTGAAAAGGTACCGTTGTGAATTGTACATGTAAATGCAAGCAGAGGGTGGCTCAAAATAACGTATACAGTTCCTTTAGGTTAAAGTAACCGTGCAGGAAGATAAAGTAACAAATAAAGTAAAAAAATTGGAGTGCTTTAAAGGGACTGTAAAGGTGTCTCCGTCTGTATCACGTGACAGTATACTGCACTGCCATTGGTGGGAGTTCTGGTCACGTGATAGGGGCGTATAAATAATATTATCAATTATATCTATTAAAAAATGAAAAATTATTAAATTCCAATAATAATAGGAGCAAACCTAAGTGTCGCAGGCTCCTCTTGGATATAGTTGTTTTTAGATTGGTTGCGTACTTGCTGAATATGATCTGTTCAAGAAAATTGGAGTGCTTAAAAGGAACATCACCATATTTGAGGCTAGGTAGCAATTTCATAAGAACTTTATCAGGTTGCATGACATATTCAAGCATTTTTAGCGAGTAATTTAACATATTTTAAAATAAAATATATTTTTAAGGCATTGACAGCAAATTTGAAGAGTTTGAAGTCCTTTAAAAATTCATTGTTTTTTAAGATCAAAAATATGATTTTGATTCGGACATGCCTTTCTTTCAATAAATAGTCATTTAAAACTACAACAATCCCTTTAAGGATTTAGAATAAAAATTATGCCCCCAACATTTTCTTCAATTTCCATATTCTCTTTGTAAAAGAAAAACAAACAAAAAATTTTGCGGATTTTATAAAATAAATCGTGGATTTTTTTAATTTTAAGGATTTAGAATAAAAATTATGCCCCCCCCCCTGCCTAAAAACAGTTTTTTTATCTTGTGCTAAACCTTCTAAATTACGTTCTTAACGTTTTTCTTTCAAGACTTCAGTTCTTCCGCGTATCTTGTTACACAATCCTACTGTTATAAAAAAAAGATTATATAATTTTTTATTTTAAATGCACTTTGTGATATTTTTTCTTTTTTAAAAATTAGTTTACAGCCTGTGCACTGTGCAGGAAGGTTTAATTAGAACTTTTTTTCTATTATTTTTATTAATTCATTAATTAATTTATTTATTATCATAATGTTTTAAACTTTAAAAATTGATTATTTTTAACTGTGGGTTGTCAGTCAAAGTAACCTCTTGCCACAGAAACAATAGAGAATATTGTCAGTATAAACCACTTTTCAAAATGTCGATATATTTTCCTCCTTATATTAGTTAGATAAAGGTTTAAAGGGTATACCACTGTATCCGAACTAACAATTAAAAATTTTTACTGATCGTTATAAAGATTTTATGAATTTACTATCTAAGAAGTAAGAAGTAGTATTCCAGTGCATTGAAGTCTAATCCTTGCTACAATACAGGCCACACATATGCTTCTCGTTATATTGGTAGGTTTCACAATTTTGATTTGACTATTTCATATATATATATATACATACTAGACATTTTCTTCAATTTCCATATTCTCTTTGTAAAAGAAAAACAAACAAAAAATTTTGCGGATTTTATAAAATAAATCGTGGATTTTTTTAATTTTCAAAAATCGAATTTTCTAGAGTCCAATTTTTAAGGTCCACCACAAAATTGGGACCGATCTGTTCAGCCATGTTGACGTTTATTGGATACAAACAGACAAACAAACAGACAGCAAGCAAAGTATACAAATATTGATATATGTTCCTTATTTGCAGTCTGTCTGTTTGTTTGTCTATTTGGGTGTAGCTGTCCGTTTGTAACCAATAAACGTCATAACGACTGAACCTATCGGGCCCAAAATTTGATTTTGTTTGTGACCTCACAAATGTCCCAAGGGAAGGTTTATGATCAATCAAAATTACAAAAATTTTGATTTTTGTTAAATTTTGAAAATAAAAGAATATCATTTAATCCACGATTTTTTTATATTGGACTAAGTGAAGATGCTCACAGATAGAGTCACAATTAAAAGTTAAAATAGAAGCACACTAAAACCTTTATATATCTATAATAATAAGAAAAAGCAACATAGCTGCATGTATGTAGTTAGTGACTATAAGTCTCTGGAAAAAATTAATAATAATACTTAAAAATAAATAAGTGTGGCATTCTGACATTGAACTATTTCAGCTGATTGCTAGCTCTGCCTTCAGGAATATTCAAGAGGTCGAGTCCTTCACATGGTAATTAAATATTATCTTTAGTTAATAATTTGTTTATTTGACATAAAATTATGACATTACATCATTTGAACTTCCTATTGCCGCGTGGTTCAAATGTGAACCACCCATGCAAAGTTAAAGACTAAGGAAGAATTTGAATCGTTGGTTTAAATTTAAACCGGTGGTTGGTAGTTCAGCAACCGCAGCCCAATTCTTTAAATTTAGGCAGTTGAGCCAGGTCTCGTTGATTTTTTTTAAATTTGACCTTTTTTCCATATCAACCAACAGTCTAAAACTTCCAGACTTTCAAGACTGGAATCTTGATTACATTCCATACAGGGGCGAGGTGGGGTCAAGTTGGGAGGATATCAAAGAAGCAGATTATTATGGTAGTGAAGAAGCTGATGTGATCCCTGAAATACAGAACAATGGTAATTAATTCAAACAATTACATAATCTTAAAAAAAGTACTGTAGATACTTACTAGAAATAATGAGGCCCAAGGTTGTATGTCGAAGTATGAGAAATCATTCACAGCCCAAAACTTATAAATTAACTGTTAAAAAAAATTAGGCAAGATAAAATTAAAATCATCCATAGGTTTCCAGAAACTAATTTACTGGCTTGAACATCAGATAACCAGGAAGAAAAGTTTTGAAGAGTTTACTGAGCTTCAACCAGAGAAAATATCTGATAAAGATAATGGAACCCTGAATTTGTCTCTTCCTTCGGTTAAATCAAATGGAACTGACTATGCCGGCAGCATGACTCAGAAAAAGAAATCTAACAAAAAGAAAGCTAGCAAAAAGAAAGCTAACAAAAAGAAAGCTAACAAAAATAAATCTCAGAAAATTATATCCAAGAAAATGATATCTAACCAAAAGAAATCTAAGAGAAGGAAATCTAAATCCTCTGGCTATTAAGTCCGCCTGCTACTAGGGCTGTGTACAATTCTGATAATGAAAATTGAAAATTAATGGAAGAGTCTGTTAACAAACGGGAAAAACCGTTAATTTTCAGATCCTTAACTGCTGTTTTTGAAAGAAAAAAATTATAAATGAAAACAAAAAACAAAATTTAAAAAGGGTGAATTTCGTTAACGGCTCATACCGTAAACGATGTATAAAATATCTGCCTTTTACGTCATTAGTAATATCGAGATCATTAACTAACGGTTGCTGTAAAAAAAGTATTGTTAACAAAAGAATTATTGCGTTTCAAGCTAAAATACGAACATCTCTGAAAAAAAACGAATTGTTAGAAAAAGTCAGAATTTGCCCAGCCCTACCTACCGCGGAGAATACTATTTTACATAATGTGATTTGTAACCATTAAACTTATAAACATTAAATTTCTGCAAAAATGAATCATTTGACTTTAATAAAAAGAAATGTCATAAAAGAAATCTTAACAAAAAGAATCTCCGAAAAGAGATCTGAATTGAAAAGAATTAATATAATGGATTATCAGTGAAAAGTAACAAATTGCGAGATTTACAATTATACATTTTATTATTTAAGTTTTTACAATATAGATATAACCACCAAGTTACAATACATGCAATTGCTCAGATTTTCTTATTCCCGTATCTTTGCAACCCGCTCTGGGTAATCCTTTGATATTTGAAACTTCAGACTATTTTATTCAACAGAATTCATAGTTTGAAATATTAAAAGCCAACATGATTTGGTTTTTGCTCAAACTTAGTTCCTTTTACTTACAATCAGTAAGCAACTGCTATAGGACCACAGGGTATCCTAATAAACAAGGGAATTAATTGAGAAAACTTTGTGTCTATCTTTGTTCAAAATAGCAATTTTGTAAGTGCTTTATCAGGTTGTATGGCCTATTCAAGCATTTTTAATAGAGAGCATTTTTAACAATTTAACATATAAGCGCGCTACCTCTCTATACTAGTTGCAATTTTCTTAATTCAAGAAAATATATTTTTAGTTAATCGCGTCGAAATGCATGAATAAGCTTTCTTTTTTTTGCCATCGTAATTTTAAGTGACCTTCCATTTAAAAAGAGTGGGCTGTTCAATTCATAACGGTTCCCTTAAAAGCTTTGTTAAGAAACCAACGAGGTTATAGTGTATAGAGTGATGATGTACGCTAATCCTTTACTAATTTTATAGGCCATCAACTATGCCGAGAGCGTACTGCATATTTGTTTATTATAAGTTGATTCTGGCCTAACCTATAGTATATCAATATACAGTTGTAAGTGTATAGTACAGCTAACTGAGCACACAGGTAGAGAACTATCATCCCCCCTGTATGAAACCCTGAATCAAAAAAAAGAACCAAACAAATTTCGTACAATCGTCTCTGAAGTCTCATCCTTAGTGGGTAACCCTGTATATGTTTTGACAGTGTAAACCTTTTGCAATACAAGCAAACTTATCAAGCATACAATTTAAAAATAGGTTTAACATCTCAAGTATTTTAGGAGCCTCTTGAAATAAAAAAAAATAAGAATGTTTAAAAACAGAGCTCAAAACTATGCCAATAATTAGAAACATGTATCCTTGTAATATGATTTAACCTTGGTATTCACATTAATTAATCTATTTATCCATTAGTTATTCTATTATTCGATTAATTAATTTATTACTTGCACTTAATTCAGTGAAAACCTATAAATAGATCTATTAAAAATTGTTTGATGTTTGAATGAGGGTGGGAGTGCAGACCCGCCAGCAACCCCGCATTTCAATATCCAAACCCCCAGATTTTCGGAATAAAATCCAAGTATAAACATCCGAATTTTGAAAAAGCAAATTGGTAAAATAAATTTTGAAGATCCTGTTTACAACTTCTTTTCTGCAGCTACAAGGTTTTAAATCATTTGATATTGAACATTTTTTCATATTTTCCCCCTCTATAAAACCACTGTATTCCTCCTGTATCCCTCTCTATAAAACCATTGTATTCCTCTTGTATCCCTCAAATTTTACTGATCATTATAAAGATTTTAGTACAGTGGATTTTTGACACAAATAAAGAGGAAGACAAGAACTTTTTTCAAAAGATATTTCATCAAAATTATGTGTTTGTTTTATTTCGAAAAGAAATTTTTGTTTTTAGCGACTTTAATACCAGTAATACCTCAAAGGAGGGAAAGCAACCTCCCCCACACAGCTTCCGAACCTCATTTTACCTATTTGCGGCAGTGCGCGTCCCAAATAGGGCTTCAGAACCTCCCCCAAACAGTCTTCCGGGAATGATCTTCCGTTTACAATCCTCAATTGCTACTTAAAACCAGAATAATTGATTATTTAAGCCCGGTAGTCCAACAGATGTTGCAGCTGTCAATCAAGTGACTCAAGCTGTCGTCAGAGTTGGGTCAAAGATTGGGTCTTAAAGTCGGGTTTAAGGAAATACGGCTCGAGCCGAAGTTTTTGAATCGCGGGCTCTGGGGGCTTACTAAACAGATCCAGTTCAGCTGACAGAACCATTGGGATAATTAATTAAACTTAAATATTTTCCAGCTCTGTGTGACAAGCAAAACCATATGTGGGGTTTAGAAGGTTCTTCTACTAGTTAGATTTAATTGACACTGAATATTAAGCATGTATCAGGGTAAACATCTTAGACTTGTGCAATAAACAGTGCAATAGTTCCTTCATAGATTAAATACAGTATATAAGATCTAGAAGTATAAAAATATTCATAACACAAGATTTAGGAGTATATAAATACAGAATATATGATCTAGGACTTTGTAAACACAGAATACAAGATCTAGGAGTATTTAAATAAAGAATACATGATCTAGAAGTATATCAATAAACATAACACAAGATCTAGGAGTATATAAATACAGAATATGTGATCTAGAAGTATACAAACACAGAATACAAGATCTTGGAGTATATAAATACAGAATACATGATCTAGGAGTATGTGAATACAGAATACAAGATCTAGAAGTATACAAATACAGAATACAAGATTTTGGAGAATATAAATACAGAATACAAGATCTATGAGTATATAAATACAGAATACAAGATCCAGGAGTATATAAACACAGAATACCAGATCTAGGAGTATATAAATACAGAATACAAGATCCAGGAGTAAATGCAAGATCTAGAAGTATATAAATACAGAATACAAGATCTAGAAGTATACAAATACAGAATACAAGGTCTAGGAGTATATAAATACAGAATACAAGATCTAGGAGTATATAAACACAGAATACCAGATCTAGGAGTATATAAATACAGAATACAAGATCTAGAAGTATATAAACATAGAAGCAAGGTCTCCGAGAATATAAATACAGAATACAAGATCTAGGATTATATAAACACAGAATACAGAAGTATGTTAATACAGAATACAAGATCTAACAGTAATAAAATACAGAATACATGATCTAGAAGAATATAAATACAGAATACATGATTTAGGAGAATATAAATACTGATCTAGGAGTGTAACATATACCATTGTAACCCTATATCTGTAAATGTGATCTACGTTGTATATTATTAATTATCTACATTTGTAAATAGCTACGTAAAACCTTATCATGATTATCTTAACCATGCGGTAAATAACTATGTAATCATGATTGTATTAACTACGTTGTAAATATTCTTTTTTTTAAATCTAGATATTTATTGTCTTCTTATTTAAATTGTACAAACTAGTTAACATGTGTTCAATAGTAGAGCTTAACGACAAATTCGTTTAAATTTTTTTTGAGAGATTTGTATACAAATTAGTTTACATGTGTTCAATAATAAAGCTTAACGACAAATTCGTTTACATTTTTTTTGAGAGATTAGTGTAAGGGTTACATACATACAATTAAAAATTTGGAATTAAGGATACTTGGATCCTGCAAAACATAAGAATTGAAGAGTGCACAAATGGAGTAGTGGAATATTAAAAGCATATAGTAAGTCATTGACGATAAAAGGGTATGCGGATTGAATAGAAATTTTTAATATAAGAATCGTTTGCATATAAATAAGAATCGTTTGCATATAAAATAAGAATCGTTTGCATATAAAAGAATCGTTTGCATATAAAGGAATCGTTTGCATATAAAAGAATCGTTTGCATATAAAGGAAATATTCTAATGACGTTTGTATAAGGTCGTAAATCTTGTAACTACGAAAATCAAACTTAGATTGTAACATTGTAAACATTTTTTGTAAAAAAGTTCCGAACTGTAGTGTATTTGTGTTGAGATATCAAAGGTTTACACCACTCGATGCAAAGATTTAGGGATTAAAATATTTGAGTTTGTGGCAAAAACTCAGTTCCAAATCTAGAGAACATTCTGGGACTGAACCTGGCAAACTTCTTACTGACTATCATATTTGATAACTGTAACCTGTTTATCTTCTTTAAAAGAACTTCTATAAAATCGAAAATGAAATAAGATTATGAATGTTGGTTAGAATGATCATAAATTCAATAACTTCAGGAGAAAACGTAACATTATCTGTCCTTTTTCAATGTAGATGATTAAAATTATATATGTATTTTGATGTTATATTCAGAATATATAAATGATTATTTCTTGTAATTATATCTGTAATTAAACCGGGTACTAATTTTCTTTGGCGCTCCACGCACACATGAAAAGAATTTATTGACTCATATAGTTAATTTTACAGTTGTTGAAAGTATAAATTTTTAAAAAACGCAGGAAAAAAAACGATTTGAATTGAACACAGCCAAATCTGCATGCAACAACTGAAAATTTCCTTTTTTTCGACATCAAACCCTTAAAAAAGCACTTTTATTAAAAAAAATAATATTTTGCCCCCTCCCCCTAGCAAAAGTGCTAGGGGGGGGGGGCAAGAATCAGAAACTGTATGATATATTATTGAGCCCGAAATGTATTGTATGTTAAGTCCATTAGCGCCTGATCCAATCAGGGTTTAGTCATGTGTTTGTTGTCTATTCTGAACCAATAGAAATAGTATGGCGGTAACATCTATCTATCTATCTATCTCATTATTCAATCAGAGATATGAATCTTTTAATCGGCGCTATCAGTAAATGGAAATATTTATTTCTACTGAAACTATGGTGCATCCATAGATAAAGATAGATTGCGAATAAGACGACTTTTTTCATCTTGAAAGATATAAATGTACAGAGATGTTTTAAAAATATTCATTTATATAGATTAACTAGGTTGGTTGTGAACATTGGCTGTTCTTTCTTATGTCATTGAGTACTTGTGGAGTACATGAGTTCTGCAGAGAGAAATTTAAGTTAGTTTAGTCCTTCTTATGTCCTTTTCAGTTCTCGACAATATGATATATTGCTCAGTGAAATAATTTGATATTCTCAAAATGAAATTCACTCCTGAGTGGTTTAATAATTATGA